TGTAGCTTCAGATGAGGCAGAAACTGTGCTGTCAAGTCACTGAGCCTGCTCCTCCTCTGCTCCTTCCAGAATCATCAAGTTGAGAAACACAACTACATGGGAAGAGGGAGCATGCAGACCCTGGGCCTCCCTTGCAATAAAACACATTTTCTCCACTACTCTCACCCATACCCAATGCCTCCAGGCACAGAGAGAGGGTGACGAGATGGGACACTCCTTCCAGAAGCTACTGCCCGAAGGAGCACAAGAAAATTTTCTGAGCTCCAAGTTGAGGCAGGAGCCAGGCCTCACAGAGGGTGGCCTGGGGCCAAAAAGAACGCAACTGCACAACCACAAACACACAGGAAGTCAGGGAGGGCCAGACGAACGTGGTGTCCAGCATCCCTTAAGAGGAACCTGGCTGAGCAAGGAAAACCTTCAGCGTCATCACTCTCAATACTCCTCATGTCTGTCACTTCCATTCTAAAAGAAAGACGCATTTGAAACAAACAATCCAGCAAACCATGCCTAAGAGCCGAATCGTCTCAGATTCACATTTCCCAACAGGATTTCTAGTTCTCCACAAATAATATCCCCGCTCGCTCTGCTCCCCGCTCTAATAATTGGGGGAGGGAGAGAGCGATGTCTAGAGAGACTGAAGACGTTCGATCAGAATTCAAGGCAGCTTCTCAGAACTCTCTTGTTTATAGAAAATGAATGTCTGCCTGGCTTGCTTTTAGTTCTGGAAAGGGGTCAGTCCTTATCAGCACGGTTCACACAGATCCTGGATTTTTTTTTCCCTTATCTTAAATTGACCCGCTTTTAAGATAAAGACATAATAGAGAAAGCATTGACCTTACCTGGTCCCTAATGAGTTGGAAGTCATTTCCTCTTATCTCGAGTCGCCTGAGAAGAGACTTGCGCTACCTTTTGTGCCACTCGAGCCTGGAGATAGCCCCTCACCGACGCTTCCTTACGCCCGGGGGCGCGCTCGCAGAGTGTGCGGCCTCAGAGTCGGAGAATTCCTTCCTGGGGTCTCAAAATCGGAGACCTGGATGCCAGCCCCAGGCCTAACCCTGCCCCCAGGAGGATTTAAGATCCCTTGGAAGGCTCCCGAGCGAGCCTTCCCTTTTGAAAGGCCAAGTCCTAAGCAGTGGGAAGAAGACCTGCCTCCTGCGAGACCCGTGGCCTGGGGCGCGCGGGGCCTCCTCCGCCTCCAGGAGTAAGTGCCCGAGCGTTTCTCGCGCCGTTGGCTCCGGCCTGGGTCTGATCTCACTAGCGGGCCCCAAGCTACCTCCCTCAGGGCCAGCCCCTATCCCAGAGCCGTTGCCCCGGCTGCTGAGGCATTCCCTGCCCCCACCCGCCTCCCGGCCTTGAGGACTCCAGCTGTACCCACAAGTGTCTCTGTTGGGGGCGGCGGCGGCCCCGACTCCCTTCTCCCTGCTCAGCGCATCTCTGTCCCGCTCTTCTCGCCTTCCCTGAACCCAGCCCAGTTCCCGGCCTGGCCGACTGAGAGGGAGGCTCTCCTCCCTCTCCGACCCACAGCTCCAGGTTCCCAGGCTGGGGCGAGGGTGGTGTGCGGCTTTGGGATGCTAAACATCAAACAAGGCAAGCCTGGGGTTTCAGGCCCCGAAGCCACTAGAGCCGCTCTCCAGGGCTCTCGAGAAAGTCCCCGTGTTTACTTGGCAGGGTGGGGGTGGGGGAGAGGAGAAAGGGGGGATGCTGTCTGCAAAATCTCCCCTACTCTCCGCAGCCGTCTGGGTTTGGGGAATGAGTGGGGTGCTTAGGCGAGGGTGGTCAGCTTCTCTTCGATCTTGGAGCGAACTGCGCTGCCCCCCTACGTGGGGAAGCTTCTGGCTCTTCCAGCACTTCAGCGCCAGAGATATCCCCAAAAGGCTGATTTCTCCAGGCTGGAACCTGGGACGGAGATGCTGGAGACCTAGGAGAGGTCCACTCCAGGCGAAGACGACAATCGACTACGCAGGGGGTCACCGGGATGTCGGGTGGGGAATGTCCCCAGGCTGAGGTCTTTTGCTGTACCCAGCGCGCAGGTACTTCTTTATCAAAAAGCTTCAGCTCGCGTTCCAGGGCCGCTTCCTGAAGCTATTAGAATCTGCCGGCCAAGGAGCTGGAGCTGGTGGACCCCTGGTGATGGATGGAGAGAAGCGGCCAAGTCTCTGTTAGTCTCTGTCCCATCCGGAGATGCGGCTCAACTCACTTTCCTCCCTCCTCTCCGTCCCCAACAAGTAAACAGACTTCAAACTAAGCCGGCTTGAGGTGGCAGGGAGAAGAATGTATTTTATAAAACTCCTTCCAATGCAAAGGGTGCTAAGGCCGAGGGTACTACAACCCACAAAAATTGTGACACTCAGGTGCCCGCTTTGGGCTAGGATGGGGGGAGGAGGCAGCCGCCTTTGCTGCTGTGGGGCACCGCACTCTCCGCGGGCCCCAGACAGACTTATGCCGGTTTAAAAAAAAAAAAAAAAAAAGTTAAGCGGAAGCTCCCATCCCCTTGGGATCGGGATGTTAGAGCAAACATCTTCCCAGTCAAAGCCCCGGACGGAGCTGTGATTTGACCACCTATACACCCTGTCCCAAGACCACAGCTGCTCATTTCAACACAAGTGTTCAAACTTCACTGATTTTTGCTTGTTTTCCAAAATGTGAGGCCTCCTGAGATTTTCCCCAACGAGCACACTCTGCAGACCCAAGCAACCATCCTCAGGGTCTCTGGGTCTCTTCTGGATATTGGAAACCATATCTCAGCAGCCAGACCCGGAATGACCTCTACACCTAAGGCACCAGGGGAGAGGAGCCTCTAGGAAGTCAACAAAGAGGGACTGCTAGTCTGGAGCAAGGCCTTGGCCTAGGCAATTTCCCTCACAATTTCCTAGGGGTGGGATAAGGTGGAAGTTGGATGAAAAGAGACATCAGAGACAGAATAAGAGGAGAAGAGAGGAAGAAAAGACGAAGAGAGACCAGAAAGGAAAAAGAAACATGAAATTCTAAGCATGAAGTGAGTACAAGCCGAATATGAATCAACCCCCCACAAACACTTTCAGGCTAAGAGGGACCCACTCGGTCACTTTTGCTAGGTAGGTTTATCAAGGGTGACACAGAAGGGGCAATAGCCCATCTAGGGACTATGATTTCTCTCTGTTCAGAACCACTTTTTCCTTCTCCAGGGCAACCCAAAGAATTCCCCAAAAACCACATCTGGGCACCAAAGAGACCAGGAAATTCAAAGTAGAAAGAAAGATTGAAGAAGATGATGAAGATGATGATGATGATGATGATGATTGCTGAGGTGGCAGGGATGGCTGGGGCAGGGAGAAGTAGAAAGTTGGGAACAGGAGAAAGATTCCTTACTACAAGATATTTGGGAGCCCAGAGATGGAAACCGGTGGAACGAAGAGGGAAAGCCCAGCTTCCCAAGTCCTGCTTTCAGCGTCCCCAGGCCAGTAGTTGAGTCAAGACCAGAAGGACCCTGAGAGGCTGGGGATCCATGTCCAACCCTGCCTGGGGATAGCTGTTTTAGAGCAGGAACAAGACGGAGATAGACTTCCCCACTTTTGAAAACAGCCTCCCACCAAATTCTAATTTCGACAAAGCTCAGAAGCAGATTAGAAAGAAGGATTGGTGTTGAACCAATTGGGACCATCTGTTCAGTAAAAAGGATCCCTCATTCGGGATTATTTAAAATGTATGTTATTTAAAACGCTTTAAAGTTTTAATCATAGACTTAGCTGTATAAGACCACAGTAGACACTTCTGAGGTTTCAAAAAACAGAAGCCTGGCTCTGAAAACTAGTCCTTTGGTCGCTTTCTCTTCTGTTTTCCCTTTCCCTCCTGATGGAAGTAGTTTAGCTTTTTTCCTCTCTATTGCCAAGTCCTAGGACTGTTAAAGGTTTGGTTCTACTCAATTCGGAGACAGAACAAAACTCCATTTCCCTATGGGACAAGGACTCTGTGCCCAGCTCTTTAGCTGGTTTAGAATCCCTTTAGCTCCCAAACAATTCCAATCCCGTCAGGCCAATGATGAGCTGCCACCCCCCCACCCAAAAATGCCTTTCAAAGCCAAATCAAAACCAAACAAAAGGTGGACTTTTAATCAGAAAAAGAATCCTTTTAATTTGTATAATTTATTAGAAGCTTCTTAGGAACTATATTTAAGCCAGATATCTACATAAGTTACAACAGAAAAAGACTGACGCTGCAAATACCAAACTGCCAAATAATATACACAGATTTTTCAATGCCCATAAAAAATATGATGGGCTTGGGGGCAGGGACTGGGGTTTCTTTTTGTTTTTGTTTTTACAACAAAATGTACAGATTACTAAAAACTAGGTGTGTGGTCCAACTTTTGACAGCGTTTTACAGCTACAAGTTCACATCAAACATAAAACAATTTTAGCCAGGGCTCTTCCCGGGGCTGAGCCAGGGTGGCCAGCGGGTGCTGGGAGGGGGCATTTCCTTTGTGTCATTGACATGTGGGTCCTGTCGTAGAGTCTCTCCTCTTCCCAGCCCCCATCTCCCCTTCAAAAGAAATCTTGGTATTTACAAGCGAGTCCACCTTGCTGGCACAGGGTACCCAGAGTGAAGTTTGCCATCTTTAGAGTCCAGAGCCGTGTCACAGTAGAGCCCTCTCCAAACTGCACCCTGCCTGAGTGAGGGAAACTCATTTCGATCACCCCCAAAGCTGTTTCTTTTTGTTATGTCCTTCTCTGTTTAAAGACTCCTTAAAGAATTGGATTCACTTGGTTGTTTTTATTTTCTTTTTTTAAAAAATTCCCACAAATTTTAGAAAAAAAAAAAAAAAAAGACGTCCAGCAGTTTGGCGTGTGTGTGTGTGTGTGTGTGTGTGTGTGTGTGTGTGTGTGTGTTTTCCCTTGGTCTATATGGGACAGATTCTTAAGAAAAGTCGAAGCGCAGGGAGCGGCGGGCAGTTGGTGATATGTGGCCGGCAGGAGGGAAAGCGATGAGGCAGCGCGCTGGGCCCGGCCCGGCCCGGTGTCCTCTCACCAGGTCCGACCATATAGCAAGGTGGAGCAGGACATGGTGCCATAGTCCGAGCCCGAAGAGTTCAGGTGGGACAGGCTGGAGACCTGGCCCTGAAGCGCCGCGGGGCTGGCGGCGTGGTGCGCCAGGTCCGGAGACTGGCCCGCGCTGCCCGGCTGGTGGCCCGGGTGTGCACCCAGGCCAGGGCCCCCGCTGCCCACTGAGATAGCGGCCGCGGCTGCCTGAGCAGCCTGAGCCTGCTGCTGCGCCTGCTGTTGCGCGTGGCCTTGAAGGCTGCCCGCACCCGGCGCCGGGGCGCCTGCCTGGCAGGGTTTGCCGTCTTTCACCAGGACGGGCACGGCCACGCGGCGCGGCGACTGCTGCTGCGCTTGCTGCTGCTGCGGGCACCCGGCGCCCCCGCCGCCGCCGCCGCCGCCGCTGTCCTGCTGCAGTTGCTGCTGGGCCGCCTTGTCCTTGGCCTGGCGCTTCATCTTGTAGCGGTGGTTCTGGAACCAGATCTTGACCTGCGTGGGCGTCAGGTGGATCATGCTGGCCAGGTGCTCCCGCTCGGGCGCGGACAGGTACTTCTGTTGCTTGAAGCGTCGCTCCAGCTCGTACACCTGAGCCTGGGAGAAGAGCACCCGGCGCTTCCGGCGTGGTGCGCTTGGCAGTGGGGCCATGTTCTTGCTCACGTCCCCCAGCGAGCCCAGGCCGCCCATGCCGCTCATGTTCATGCCGCTCGCCGGGCCCATGAAGCGGGAGACTGTAAGCGACAAACGCACAGCGTCGGCGGGGGCCGGGCCAGGCCAGGCCACCTCTGCCTTCCGTGCCCTTGGCCGGCCCGGCCCACCCCGACGGCGCCCTTCTCACCTAGGCCGCCTCCGCCCTGAGAGGCCTAAGCACCGACGACAGTTAGCGCCTGCCCCAGGCCGTGCCGTCGAGGGATTTACTGGAAAGCTCCCCACCTCAACCCCGGTTGCCTCCCTCAGTCTCAGTTCTCCAGCCCCAAAACAAAGTGGAGAAAGGCCGCTTCTGTCCCTTTCTTGCCCAACCCCGGCCAGAGTCGTTGGGTTAGCGGGCCACAGGCGGCGAGCTGGGCCCAGACCAGGACCTGGGGTCCCACCGTAGACCCCAACTTTGGGAGTTTGGGAGAGTGGGGTGTTCACTTTCGAAAGCTAAAGTCCCAGACGCTTTGCCTCCTGGCCACTCTCTCCTGTGAGCCCCAGCGAGGGCACCCGCTCGCACCACTTAGAGCCCCCTCTGACGCCGCGCTCCCTTCCACCTGCCTAGATTGGAGAGCCAGCCGGGCGGGTCCCCTGAGCGCGTCGCAGTAAGGCAGCCTCCCGCCCGGCCAGGCCGCGCCTCTCTGCTCCCTGCTTGCCCCCAGCTCCCTTAATTTTTCGGGGGGCCGGAGGGCGATCCCTGGGCACTCCGAGGTCTCCTGAGCGGAACAGAGCTGCCAGTCGGCCGCATCTGGTTGACGCCAAAGGCTAGCATCTGCCGCAAGTCCCCAGCGTTATCAAGTGTCCCTTCTGGGACCCTCAGTCCGGCAGGGGGAAGGATCCCCGGCCCCCGTACCCTGCTGCCTGGCGCGGCTTCCGGGCCGCCCACCCTGACGCCCAGTGCGCAGCCGGCAGGCGCTGCGCCTGCGGGACTGCTCTCCCCGCTCCTGCCGTACTCAGCCCGCGGCCCGGCAGTGGGGCGGCCTCACTTACTGGCGGGGAAGCGCGGGTCTGGGTTGGCGCCGTACCATCCGGGGCCCGAGGCGCTGTTCCGCATGGTGTCCTGGTACGGCGGCAGCTCGCTCATGTTGCCCAGGTTGCCGTTGCAGTAGCCCCCCACGGCGGAGTGCGAGAGCTGGGGCACCCCCGCCGCCGTCATGTGGTAGGCGGCTGTGACGGCGCCGTGGTGCCCCACGGCGTGCTGCTGCATGGCCGCGGCCGGCGGAGCCGCCTGGCCCTGCCTGTAAGCCGCCAGCGGAGCCCCGAGGCCGCCGCCCTCCATGCCCACTTTCTTGTAGCTTTCCTCCAGGGGACTCAAGATGTCAGACACTGAGAACGGAGTCGTGTGCTTTGGACTCATCGACATGATTCGGCGGCGGCTGGAGGAGGAAGGAAGAGGAGGAAAAAAAAGGGAGAGGGGGAAGGCGAAGCCTCGCTGCTTTTTTTTTTTCTCCCTTTGCCAAATATTCTGGTGTTACCTTAACGCCGATCTTGTTGGATGTACACGTAACCGAGTGGACCGAGTCCGCCTTAATTGGCTTGAGTGGAGGCTCGGGGGCTGCCTCGCGTTTGTTTTAGCCCGGCGCCAGGTTTTAGGCAGCCACCAGAGGCGGGGCGTAAGCGCTAAAGCAACAAGACAATAGAAGCCTACATCTTGCCCGAGATAATTAGCTTACATGCTGATGACAAGGTAAACACCTTTAAGTTTCACTTGTCAGGATTTTTTAGGTCTCAAAGAGGGAGAGAGAGAGAGAGGCTGAGACGCGACCCAAAGCATTTCTTTCCCCCTCCCCGGACACCCCCCACCCCATTTTTTGTGGGGTGCGGGCGGCGCGCGGGGGGGAGACGGGGGAGGGAAAGGAGGAGGGAACCGAGAGAGGGGAGGGCAAGAGGTGGGATGAGGAGTAGCCGAGGAGGAGGGATGGTGGGGAGGAAGGAAGGTGAATGCTGCTTTGCAACCAACTTTCGGAGTTACAAAGTGAACCACTTTCCAATACAGTCGGGGTTCCCGGGAGGGGACAAGTCTTTAGAGGGAGGGGGCCAAGGGACAGGGTAGGGGTTTCACCTGAGCCTGCTGGGGCTGCTCCTCCCTCCCGCCGCGGCCTCCCAGCCCCGCGCCTTCCCACTGCCTCCGGACCACATCGGGCGTCGCGGCGCCGAGCCCCAGTCGCCACCAAACGAGCTCGCGAGTCTGGGGACGAACCCTGGGACCGCACTGTTGGTCTGCGTGTCTGTCCGTCTGTCTGCCTCTTCTGCCGCCGTCAGAGGGACACCTCTGCTCCCCGCCCCCTTTCCCCCTACCCGAGAGAGAATCCCAGCGGGTGGAGGGGACGCTGAGCAAGGGATCGGCTGCCTCCGAGAGGCTGTCCCAGATCCCCGCGTCCCCCTCCCCCCACCTCAGGGTCTTCTCAGCGGTCCAGGGCCCCCTCCATCACGCCCCCCGCCACAACCCACACGCGGAACCCTCTCCCCACCCCCATTCCCAGCCAAGGCAAGCACACTACTGGCCGCCAGTGCTGGGAAGCTGGGGGGCACTAACCCCAAGGGCCATTGCTGAAGTTGCCCCACCTCGAACAAACCTGGTGTCCCCGACCCTCGCCCATCGCCCGGACACGCGGGGTTCTGGGGCTGGAGCTGACTTTCCGAGGACATCACAGCCCCAGCACCCGAGCCCAGGGCCACGCTGTTTTCCCCTCTGATGCTTCAGGGAGGGCGCGGGCAGGGAGCGTCGTGAGTACCCGCCCGCCTGTTGCCGGGCGGAACTGAGCCTGAACCCCGGCGGGACCAGCTGGCCGGGAGGGGGCGAATCCCAAGGCGCGAGCAGCCCAGCAGGCGGGAGGCTGGGCTGAGGCTCGCCTCCGCCCGGAGCGCAGCCATGCAAAAGTGCACTTGCTTCCCCGGGAATAACCAAATATCTTTGTTTAAAGTGGCGGCGTAAATGGCCAGTCGCTTTGTGGCCACGCTGGATATTAGTAGATGAGGATCATTCTGCTTCAATTGGGCGCCTCTCATCCCGCGAGCAAGAAACTGCTTAGGAGGAAGTGGGTTTCCTGTCTGCGCGTTCCCAGGCTTCAAGTGTGAGCCCCGCGCCTTGAGGGTCCTTGGGCGCCTGGAGAGGGGGAGCTGTGGGCTTTCGCTCCCCAGCCCAGCCAGAGGCACCCGCCGTGCTGCTCCGGCCAGGCCCGGGCCTCCAGTCCAGGGGACTGCAGTGTCGCGCCCAGCGTGGCGCAGATCCCGAGACCCACTCCGACTTTCCCCTCCAGGATTCTAAACGTTTTGTTGTTGTTTTGCTTTGCTTTTTCTTCGGCTCTTTGAGGCTCCTCTCTGGGCTAGGGGCTGGGAGGGTGGAGCGCTCCCGGGCCAGGCTGGGGCTTCCAAGACACTGCGGGGGCCGGTTAAGGAGGCTTCTCGGATTTGTTTTTTGTTTTCAAATTTTCCTTCCCCTCCTTGTAGAGAAGGAGCTCCCAGTAATGAACAGGCACTTTTGAACGATTTAATTCAGCAGGTTAGGCACCTTTTCCATTAACAGCAGTTGTAGTAAGGAAAGTTGTTTTGTTTATTGGCTTGTTATTTTAACATTTCAGTTCTCTCCTTGAGAAGTGCTCTGTATTCCCTCAATACAAAGGCAACTTCTATACTGACATTCGCTTTCCCCACCACCTATGTCGCTTATGAGAGGAGAGGAAGCCCAGGGTACCCCCTTCCTCCCTCATGGGCCAACATTCTCACACATTGCCCTTGGGCTTTGGGGCAGACAACCCTGCATTTGGGCACCGAGACCTGCTTGTCCGTTGTGCCACAAAGGACAAGCACCAAGCCGCCTCCTTGCCCTTTTATCAAGGGGCTTCTTTGGGGTGCACTCTCAGGAAGACTCAGACTCCAACTGAGCTTTAGTCGATGTAATGTCTAAGCCCAGGGAGCAAGGAGAGAAGACGACGCAGGGCTCAAGTGAACCGTCGGGGAGAGCTGACAAAACTGAATACAGATCCTGCCTGCAGGCGCCCCTAGCCCCTGGGCTTGTGTTTGGACTGGGGTCTTAATGACAAGGCAGGGTGGGTTTCCCATTCCCCTGTCTTCTTTCTCTTTCTCCCTCTCCATTATTTCATATTATTGGTAACTGTAAGAAATGCCAAGTATAGAATGTTGTAGCCTCTCCACTCTCAATGCCATTTAGAAAAGGAGGTGATTCTTTACAAGGTTTCTCTGAAATTCAAATAAGATCGGGCACATAAAAGCGCTTTGAAAGCTTTGGAAAATTTCTTATTTCATTGCCAGAGCTCGAGATTTCTGTATTGTCATTAGTACCCCCACCCACTCTGCCCTGCCTTTAAGGCCTTGAATCTGAGTGAAGGGGAGAGTTAGGCGCATCTTGCGCGGTCCCTGAGCCTCGGCCTTCGTCCCTCGCCAGCTTTCCAGCCCTGCAGCAGGCTCAGCGGCACACGTGGCTAGTAGCCCCCACCTCCCCCTCGCCCAAGGCCTGCCGACCAGACCGTGACCCCCAACCAAGCAGCAGGCGTTGAGACACCGCCTGGAGCTGAAGCCGAACGGGGGTTGGGGGGTGGGGGCGGCGCCCGGCTTCTGCAGCTACTCCACGCAACCCCTCCCCCGCAACCAAGATCCCGCTGCTCCCTTGCCCCCCCCCCCCCCCCCCCCCCCCGCAGGCGCGCGCACCCACACCAGCCCTAGACCTTACCTGGGCCTTTGCAACACCTTGCGGCCCCCGCCCACCTCTTCTACCTCTGCCTCTCTCTCTCTCTCTCTCTTTCACACACACACACACACACACACACACATACACACACCACCCCACACTCTTTGCCAGATGTGCTGCACTGCCAAGACTAAGACGTCTAGTCTAGCCTGAGGTGGTAGGGGGAAGACTGGTATCTCGATCTCTGAGCTTGATCAAGCAGAGACTTTGAGAGTCCCTCCCCTGGCCCCACACCTCTTCCTAACCAAGGAGTGTCCTTTTTTGTTTAGCTGCCTCCTAGAGTCATCTTAAGTAGGGCGACCCTGGTTAAACTGGTAATTTCTTCATGGTTGCAGGAAATACTTGGGAACCCCGAGTCCCCCCCCCCCCCCCCCCCCCCCCCCCCCCCGCCCCAGGACCCCTGTGACTTCAGTAACTCTCCTGGCGGAGTGGGTGCAGTGGGGCCCAGTTCCGGCTTCTCAGGGAGCTTTCCCTGGTGGGGCCCCGAGAGCCCACCTCAGTCCCTGACACACTGCTTTGCTCTCTGCAGCTCGGCCTAAAATCTAAGGAGCCCCGGAGGCTCAGGCTCAGGCCCAGGGGGGAGGACAGAACTGCCTTCAACCTTTGCTCACCACCTGTGTGGTGAAGGGAAACCCCTTTCTGTCCCAACAGAGTCATTTCTCTGAGAATTTAGAACAGAGGACTCTTCCTGAAGGCTGTATGACTCAGGGTCTGTAGCTTGGACAGCCAGAGGAATGAAAAGTCCTCCCTGGTCTCTCACCACATTTTTCTAATTCTCTTCATGGTCCTTCACACCTCTTCTAGATCCGTGAGAGACCATGTGCCCTGGTGGTGTTATTTTGCTCCAAGTTTTATCACAATTTGTGATTTATTCAACAAATATTTATTGAGTGCTGGCTCTGTGCCAGGTTCTGTGCTGGGCCTAAAAAATCAGCTTTAAACAAGCTAGATGTGGCTCCTACCCACACAGAGCTTATAAATTAACAATAAATCACCCAAATGATATCCATGTAGTCCCTTTGTGACAATGTTACTCTGGGATCCAACTGAGATAGAAAGGGTTTTGACGAAGGGGTGTGTGTGTGTGTAGCAGGGATGGGGTAGGTAGGTTCTTCACATTTCTGATCTTAAAGTGCTCAGGGGTGGTAGGCAGAGCACTTGAGTAGAAGTCAGAATCCCTGGGGTTCAAGCCCTGGTGTTGTCACCTTTCAGCTCTGTGGTATAGCTCTCCCAGACTCCCACCATACCTGGGAGCTGTTCCCATCACAGCCAGAGTAAACTATGGCGGTGTTTACTGCCTCCCTCCCTTATAGTGAAACCCTGTTTTTATTTATCCTTGGATCTTCCAGTGCCTCAAGAAATTAAGGAATTAAGGAAACAGCCTCTTAGCACCTGATTCCTGAGAAGCCCCCCCCCCCAAAAGGTGTCTTAATCTCCGTTTGTGTACCTCCCAGGTTGTACTAGGGATCCAAGTATTTAAGGATGAGATCGTGTGCATGAATTTGTAAAGCACAAAAATCGCTAGCAGATGGAAGGAGTTATTACTTGCGGTTCTATATCTTGAGTTTATAGAAACTGAATGCAGGCCTCTAACTCAGCATGAATCTCTCTGGGCCCTTGGCTGTTCCTGCGCCCAGGCCGGCGGTGGGCTAGCCTTCCTCAGCCGGGCGCAGCGCCCCTCCTCCCGGGCCTGGCTGAGCTGGGCTCCCAGGTGCCATCTAGGCAACTCCTCCCCAGGGAAAGGAAAGCAGGAACGCAGCCAGGCCCAGGGAGAGGAGGATGTGGCTGCTCCGCAATCTCAAGATCTGAGGAACAGAATCCGGCGCTCCCTCTGGAAGGCGTCTCTCTTTCCCTGAAGGACTTCCCTGGAACTCGCTGCGCCTTTTCCCCAGGCACCAGACTTGAGAGCCTCTGGAAGATCTGCGCGAAGCGCGGGGGCCTGCAGGAGGGCGGCTTTCCCCAGGGAAGCTTTCGCAGGCGCTGGTCCAGGAACCGATCCGGAGCTAAGGCGCGCTCCCTCTGCTGCTCCCCGTCCTAGCTCGAGCGTCGAGGGTGTTTGACCGCCAGTTTCCCTTTGCGGACGCTCTCCTCAAACCATGGCCTTTGGGCAGGCCCTGGGGGTGGGGGTGGGGGTGGAAGGTGACCCTAGGACGTCTGAGAGTAGTACTTCAGTGCCGCCCTCTCCCTGCACTGGCGCGCTCTGCGGTTGGAGTGGCAGATGAGGTCGTGCGCGTGAAGGCCAGAGTCCGCGCAGACAGGAGAGTCCACTCTCCGGCCTTTGGTGTCGAAGAGGCTGACACCTGTGGTCTCGGAACCTGCTTATTTTCGTGTCGCACATTTCAACCTAGATTCAACTTGTCCCAAGTTATAATCAGAGCCCCTATGGTCAGGGCGCCCCCTGGCGGGAAGGGATCTAGGGTAGCCGCAAGTTGGGGGACTGGACTACAAAGTAGTGAGAAAGGGGGGGACTCAGAGCTAGCATCACCTTTGAAATGCGGAGAAACCAAGACAGGGGTGGGACGTGGGGGAGGCTGGCCTGCAACTGCTGGGAGACCCGGCGAGGCCGATGCGGGGAGCCCCGGAAGACCGAGGCACCAGTAGAGCCTGAGCCCTATAGAGAATTGGCTGGTTTCCGCCCAGTTCTTCGTTTCTGTTTAAATTAAGAGCCTGTAAGTGGGCAACAGAGTGGACGGTGGTGAGTCCGCCCTGGTTTGGACAGACGGGAAACCCCCATCTTAAGGAAGGCGAACATCCCCAGGAGGCGCGTGCAGTTAGCGGGAAAGTTTTGGAGCCACGGATGAGGCCAAACGCCAGATTCAGGAAGGATCCTCGTGGCGGCGCGGCTGTTTTCGCCCTAGGACCTGTGCAGCTGCATACAACTTGAGATGGCTGAAGCCTACAGCTCTTCCTCCCTTTCATCTCCCATCAAACCGAAGCCCCA